CAGGCCACACACCCCTCATGTAGCCAATCCTAATGAGTTTCTGCTGTTGGGTGTGGCCTGTTATGCTAATGAGTTCCTGCTGGGCGTGGCCAACTTGGGAGCCAGCCGGAACTCCGTTCCTGTGCGTTCCTGCCCAAGAATAGCCCTGGTTCTGCTGATGCTCTAGCTGGCACACAAATGGGGGGGGGGGGGCTCCTGAGAACGTGGAAAAGTGTGGACATCAACCCCAGCCCTGCAGCTGGTAGAAGCTTTAAGCAATGAATACCCTCTGAGATCTGAGTGTCCGTTTGGGGGGGTTGCTAGGCAACTGCAATGTTGTCAGCCTTCCAGTCTTAATAGACTTTCTCTTGCAATATTTTTTTTTAAAAAACAACCTTCTCTCGCTTCCAGCTGGCCTAAGGGTGGTGATCAAAACAGAGGAGCCCCATTCCGACGACTGCCCGGAAGACCTGGAGCGACACCAGATGTCGGGGAGTTCAGAGGGGGATTTCCAGGGCCTGGACCAAGACGCCCCCTGCGAGAGTCCGTACAGCGCGACGCCGCCTCCTGGAAACTTTGCAGGGAACAGCCTGGAGGAAGTGAGCGAGTACGGGGGTTTTGGGGAAATCAAGAGAGTCACTGTGCAACACGGAAGCTGTACGGGTAAGTCCTTGTCAAGCAATGGAGGAACTTTTCTCTCCCCCCCGCCCCCCGCTTCTAGCCCATCTCTGGCTATGGACAAATACCCCAGCCCTTGTCGCTCGTCCTCAGGACTTCTCTACAAGGCCTGTCTTGATCTGAGGCAAACAGAGACCTGAGACTGAGAGAGTGTGCCCGTGGCCCCTCAGGGCATCCATGGATGGACTGGGTGTTGTTTGTAGGGATCCCGTGTCTTTCCCCCCACCCCCCTACATCATCATCAGTACATCTAGTTCTCAACATGACCATAGAGGTGGATCCTTGAATCCAGAGACTGGAGCCATGAAGAGACAAGACAGAACATTCTACAAACCTTAGTCTAAGACCCAGGTTTGCAGGAAAATCTGAAATCTAAAACAACAACAACATGGGGGGGGGAAGCCCCCCCCTCCAATAACAGAAGTGCCTGTGGTTTCAAAAAATGAATACCCTCTGAGATCTTAGTGGCCATTTGGGGGGTTGCCGGGCAACCACCATACTGTCAGCTTTCCAGTCTTGGTTTCTGTCCGTAATAGGCAGGAGAGGGCAGGGCCCTTTCCAGGGCTGTTTTGGCCTCCTAGTCAACCCCTCCTTTCCTCCTCCCTGCACTGGAGGGAGGACTCATTGAGGTCAGGGCCAACAGCAGCCACTGGGCAACTTGCTACCACGGAATTTGCTCAACTCACCCAGGTGTGGTGGCGGCGACTCCCAGATGACTTGTAGACACACAGTTCACCTGGGCCCAACTCATGTAACTTGGCTGGGCCACCTCACCTGAGTAAGTTGCTACCATATGACTTTTGCAACTTGGTCAGACTTTGCCCAGGGAGATGCTGCCAGGGAGAGTGAAGGAAGCAAAACTGAGATGCTGCCAGGGGGAGTGAAGGAAGCAAAACTGAGATGCTGCCAGGGGGAGTGAAGGAAGCAAAACTGACCTCCAGTGTGGCCTAGTGGTCAGAGTCTCAGGGTAGGGCCTGGGAGACCCAGGTCTGAATTCCCAGTTGTGCCTTGGAAGCTTGTCAGGTGAGCTTGACCCACTCACTCTCTCTGTCAGCGTAGCCTACCTCGCAAGGCTGTTATGAGGATAGAACCGAGTACTGGAGAATTGCTGTCAGCTGCTTCCGGTCTCTGTTGGGAAGAGAAGTGGGATACAAATGGAGGACATGAATAATAAATGAAGCTCAGGATTGTGGGGAGCAGATGAATGGTGGGTGGGTGGGGAGAAGGAGGCAGGGAAAGGGGAGAGGATGTGGGGGCTGCTGAAAGAGGAAAAGGGATACAGGAGAAAGGGGAGGGCCTTCCACAAGTCCTTACAGGATTCCTGCATGTACATTCTTACTTTCAGCAAAACTGTCAACATGGAGATAGAGCAAGATGGGTAGCCGTATTTGTCTGTAGCAATAGAAAAGAGCAAGAGTCCAGTAGCACCTGAAAGACTAACAAAATATGTGGCAGGGTGGGAACGTTTGTGAGTCACTGCTCACTTCTTCAGATGCACCTAGAATGGGAGTCCATCTGTCCTATTTATTGGAAAGTGGAGTGATTTTGAATGACATTAGCAGGCAAATGACTATAGCAGGTGAATGACAATAGCAGGCGTGATTGGATTTAGGTGAGCTATGCGGCAGGCTAATAGGTGTGGAGAAATCAGCATTGGTAATGAGACAGGAAACCTAGGTCTTGATTCAGTCCAAGTGGATGCATTGTCTTGGGTTTCATTGTCAGTTGCAATTCAGAATTGTCTCTTTCTAATTTCCCTTTGAAATTCCTTTGTAAAAGAAAATAAAACAGTGGGATGGCTTCTAATGTCCTGGCCCCACTGGTGGACCTCCTGATGGCACCTGGTATTTCTGGCCACTGTGTGATACAGAGTGTTGGACTGGATGGGCCTTTGGCCTGGTCCAACATTGGCATCTCTTATGTTCTTATGTTCTTAAATGCTACTTTTAGGTCAGCAACTGGATGTCCTGGAAGGTTAAATTGTTCCCCCCACTGGTTTTTGAACGTTGTGGTTCCCAGTGTCACACTTATGTCCATTAATTCTTTGTTGAAGGGACTGGCCTGTTTTTCCAATGTGGAGGGTGGAAGGGCATTGTTGACACGTGATGGCATAAATCGCATTAGAGGAGAAGCAGGAGATTGCAGACTCCTGGCCTGAAGAGGAAGTTGTATCCCTGAATTGTGATAGGGTTACTCCCCGGCCCCCCCGTCAAATCAGCAATTTTGGCTCAGTAGCTTAGGGTTTAGTAGTTTACTAAATAAAGTAGTGTAGTTTCTAGTGTCTTGTGTTAGAATGGAGCCACTGTTTTAGGCTTTATTTACTTACTTCATTTGTACCCCATCTTTCTCTCCCATGGGGACCCCAAAGCAGCTGACATTATTCTCCTCTCCTCTGTTTTAATCTCACAACAGCCCTGTGAGGTGGAGAGCGTGGCACTGGCCCAAGGTCACCTTGTGAGCCTCCACGGCAGCGTGGCGATCCGAAGCTGTGCCTTCCAGCTCTTAGTCTAGCGGTCTTACCACTGCACTATGCTGGCTCACGCTCTTTAGGCAGACTGCGTTCTGTGATTTATCGTTTCAAATATGGATGATCTATCTCGAGTCCCTGAAGGGTGAGAAAGAGGGGATCCGTAGGGTTTTCAGGGCAGGAGATGCTCTGAGGTGGTTTGACCTCAGAGCAGGTCGAGAAAGAAGGCCTTTTCTCCCTTTCTCACCGTACAAGAACTCCTTGTGGGCACTCCATGACATTGCTGAGCAGTCGGGTTAGAACAGATAAAAGGAAGTCCTTCTTCACCCAAAGAGGGATTAACACATGGAATTCACTGCCACAGGAGGAGGTGGTGGCGGCTACAAGCATGGACCGCTTCAAGAGGGAATTGGATAAACATATGGAGCAGAGGTCCATCAGTGGCTCTTAGCCACAAGGTATAGATAGGAACTCTCGGTCTGGGGCAAGGGATGCTCTGTCTTCTTGGTGCTTGGGGGGATGGGGGCTACAGTGTGAGGGCTTCTGCTGTCCTGCCCCTACTGCTGGACCTCCTGATGGCACCTGGTATTTTTGGCCACTGTGGGACACAGAGTGTTGGACTGGATGGGCCATTGCCCTGATCCAACATTGGCTTCTCTTATGGTCTTATGTCTGGGGCAAGGGATGCTCTGTATTCTTGGTGCTTTGGGGGGGGGGGGGCAACAGTGGGAGGGCTTCTAGTATCCTGGCCCCACTGCTGGACCTCCTGATGGCACCTGGTATTTTTGGCCACTGTGGGACACAGAGTGTTGGACTGGATGGGCCATTGCCCTGATCCAACATTGGCTTCTCTTATGGTCTTATGTCTGGGGCAAGGGATGCTCTGTATTCTTGGTGCTTTGGGGGGGGGGGGGCAACAGTGGGAGGGCTTCTAGTATCCTGGCCCCACTGCTGGACCTCCTGATGGCACCTGGTATTTTTGGCCACTGTGGGACACAGAGTGTTGGACTGGATGGGCCATTGCCCTGATCCAACATTGGCTTCTCTTATGGTCTTATGTCTGGGGCAAGGGATGCTCTGTATTCTTGGTGCTTTGGGGGGGGGGGGGCAACAGTGGGAGGGCTTCTAGTATCCTGGCCCCACTGCTGGACCTCCTGATGGCACCTGGTATTTCTGGCCACTGTGTGACAACAGAGTGTTGGACTGGGTGGGCCACTGGCCTGATCCAACACTGGCTTCTCTGATGTGCTTACGTTCTTTGCCTGCCTCTGCGTGACAACCCTGGGCTTCCTCGGAGGCCTCCCATCCAAGTACTCACCAGGCCTGACCCTGCTTAGCTTCTGAGATCTGAGGAAACGGCTAGTCTGGACCATCCAGGTCACGGCCAAAAATAGTCACAGGTGGTTTGCCACTGAATTTATTGAATTTCTGACCTCCCCTTCCAAGCACTGACCAGGGCCGACCGCCCTTAGCTTCCAAGATCTGGCGAGATCAGGCTCGCTTCGGCTATCCAGGTCAGGGATGAAATCCAAATACGGCACCTAAAATAGACCGGTTCAACGTGCAGAATAGAATTGCAGTCAAGGCAATAAAAATAAAACGCTGATTTCAGCCCTGAAATAGACCTCTTTTTCTCCATATGACCTCGCCCATCAGCTGGACCATCTGCAAAGACATTATTGTGTGTGCCGTGCTCTGGGGGTGAGGCAGGTGGTACCAGAGATAGGCTGGTCCTGAGGCAGGGCCTCCGCTCTAGGACTCCTCCCCCACACACACACATACACACTGGCTGTTTGTCTCGTCTTCAGCGCTGAGTGAAAAAGTGCTTGGTCCACCTAAATGTGATTGTGTACATGACTTTTGTTCTTGGTCTCCTCCATTGACTTTTTACTTCTATTTTGTGCACTTACTGGATTGTCTAAATCAGGGGTGTCAAACTCATTTGTAATGGGGGCCGTATCTGATATAAATGAGACCTTGTTGGGCCGGGCCGGGCCAGGTGTGTCATAAAATGTAATGCCAGGTAGCCGAGATAGAAACTTTATAAAGGACACAAACAGAAAGGGTTTTTTTAACTTAAAATAAAAACATGCTTAAAACATCAGCACTCTTGCAATATTTTGTTTATTTAGCAGTGTCTGGTGATAACTGACACCTCTTGCCCTGAATGATTGCCTCAAAATGTCTGTGCTGTCACAATCTTGAGTATGCTGTTCAGGTGTGTATCTGTAAGCTGCAAACCTATAACGACGCAGCAGCAGCAGAACTGGAAGAAGAAGCAGGAGACAGCCAGTTCCACTGTGGGCCTGATAGAAGCCCTCTGAGGGCCTAACCTGGCACCCTTGGTTTAAATGGATTCCAGAGATGTTACTCAGTGACATTACCTTTAGTATTTTTACGGTGCTAAGTGTTGTTTAATTATTGCTGACTACTTATGAATAATTTTGGTTGTGTTTTGTGAATGATGCCTTAGCAGTTTTGTGCTAGGAGTTTCTGTGGGGTGTGCCTTATTCCAGGTAAACGCCCAACTAATGTTAAGAGGCAGCTCCTTACAAAAACAATTGGCGGCGTATTACTAAGGCCCCTGATGGCTCATTTTGCTTCCCCCTTAAGATGACGGAATCGTGATCAAGATGGAGGAGGAAGAGGAGGAGGAAGAGGAGGAGGAGGAGGAAGACCCCGTGAACTTAGAGCCCCGCGGCCTCTTCTCTTCGCGAGCCGAGCCCCCGTGCTCGCTGAATTGCAACCCAGAGGCGATTCGGGAAGACCAGCGGGTCGCAAAGAAGCCCCCCAGAGCGACGGTGGGGATCTGCGCCCCGCTGTGCGAGAGGGACAGTAGCGTGGAGGCGAGGCCGGTGACCCTGCAGCAGAGGAACCGGACGCGAGAGAGGCCGTACATCTGCCCGGAGTGCGGCAAGAGCTTCATGCTGCGGATCAATTACATCATCCACCAGCGGAACCACCTCAAGGAGGGCCCCTACGAGTGCCACGTGTGCGACCTCAGCTTCCGCATCAAGCAGCAGTTCCTCCTGCACCAGCGACTGCACACGGCGCGGCGGGTCGCGCCTCCCCCCCGCCGCGGGGGGGCCTTCCCCGACAAGCGCAGCCTCAAGCCGCAGCCCAGGCCCCCTCCGCCCCCTGGGAAGCCCTACAAATGCAGCGAGTGCGAGAGCAGCTTCAGCCACAAGTCGAGCCTGAGCAAGCACCAGATCACGCACGTGGGCGAGCGGCCGTACTCCTGCGGGGAGTGCCGCAAGAGCTTCCGGCTGCAGATCTCGCTGGCCATGCACCAGCGGGTGCACGCGGGGAAGAGCGAGCTCTCCTTCATCTGCCCGCAGTGCGGCAAGGCCTTCAGCCGGCCCTCGCACCTCCTGCGGCACCAGCGGACTCACACGGGTGAGCGGCCCTACAAGTGCAGTCAGTGTGACAAAACCTTCAGCGAGAAGTCCAAGCTGACCAACCACTACCGGGTCCACACCCGCGAGCGCCCCCACGCCTGCGGCGAGTGCGGCAAGGGCTTCATCCGGAAGCACCACCTCCTGGAGCACCAGCGCATCCACACCGGGGAGCGTCCCTACCACTGTGCCGAGTGCGGGAAGAACTTCACCCAGAAACACCACCTGCTGGAGCACCAGCGGGCACACACGGGGGAGCGGCCCTACCCCTGCACGGAATGCGCCAAGTGCTTCCGTTACAAACAGTCCCTCAAATACCACTTGCGGACACACATGGGGGAAAGAGGGCTGCCCCCCGCCTGCCCACCCACCCACCCGAGCCCC